AGCTGATCCTGAATCTAACTCCATCTCTAACTCTGGGCGGTCGGGTAGCCTAGTGGTTAAAACGTTCGCTCGTCACGCCGAAGACCCGGGTTCGATTCCCGACATGGGTACAATGTGTGAAGCCCATTTCTGGTGTCCCCCACCGTGATATTGCTGGAATATTGCTAAAAGCGGCGTAAAGCCATATTCACTCACTCACTCACTCACTCTAACTCTGTACCTGCAATCACTGGAAAAACCTTCACAGATGGACTTGAGACTCCGCTCATTACTACCTCTGAAGTCTTTCTATTTCTTAAGAAATTTTGCTTGTGAACAGCAAGTGTAGCTTTTTAATGTTTCTGTAATTCAAATGTATCTCTTGTCACAGATTCCATGGCAACAGATATCTTGATGGCTTGATCATATAATACATTTTCTTCAGCTAATAGTCTTTTGTGATTACTCTCATTTTCCCACAAACCAATCTATCTCTTAGTGCTTCATTGAGAACATTTGTAAATCGACAATATTCCGTCCATGTCCTAGATTCAGTAATGAAAGTTTGGATTGTCTCCCCTTCTAGCTGATCCCGCTAAAAGAATCTAAAACGTTTAGCAACAGAGGTGATGGTGACAAGTGATAAGTCAAACCGTTCACTATCTATTGATAACTTTGGACGCGGTTGCTGTAAGTGTACCCAGTAACCCGTATGTTCTCGGTCCAATGTAAGTCAAAATTGCCAAAACCTTTTTTTCGTTCGCCACCTCAATGAAAGTAAATACATGTAACTCAACATAAACTGGCCATGTCTCTACGGTTTCATCAAAAGGATCACAATTAAAGTACTAATTATTACGCACGTGGTTCGCTGCACGAAATTAGGGGACACCTCATGTCATTATCGCATTTACTGTGAAATCCATCATATCGATCAGATATATTTACGGCTCACTAGTTTGAGAACGTGGCCCAGATATTGGTGATGGCGTATATGTCTTCAGACATAATAGGGTTATATAACTCCAGCCCAACCACACAACACTTTAGACGGTAACGATCTGATTTATTCGGCGCTGCGGACTACATTACACATCAATGCTTGGTATTCTTACGCCACTCTGAAAGCTTACTGAAGCGTACGTAATATATATACAGTATACCAGCAATATTCCAGCTCTTTTTCTCTTCTGTAAATAATCGAGTCTAGACCAGACAATCCAGCATTTAATATGGAAATCGATCTATGTAATTCTATTAGGGTAACAAACTCTAAATCACCAATCCTGACTACCCGTTCTCGCTAGTCGCCAGGCAAGGGTTGCTGAAGAGCAGCTCGACCAAATCTTCATGGGGGGTTAACCTGCAAGGCAATAAACACAGTGATTAAGAACAGACTCCTACATTTATAATTTCAAACACAGCTTTGTCACACGATGAACACTGCATCGTCTCCCTGACGGACACGTGGGATCTGCGCTTGGACCCATCAGCTCTTGAAATACAAAATATTAAGTTAGAAAAGAATATGAACCAGATAGGGTTTTTCCACCAGCAGATATCAATAGACAACATGGGTGAAAATAACCTTACATCGATGATCTGATATCAGTCAATAACGGTCAATTCCCTTCAACAAGTTTACCCGCCTGAACTAGAAATAAAAGAGACGAGTGTGACACCTATTTCATATTTCGACATATGCTTGCCGTAAAAGGCGACTGTGCTTACGTGGATCGATGCTCATGATGAAAATCACTGGATTGTCTGGTCCAGACTCAGTTCTATACAGACCGCCGACTTATCGCTGGAATATTGCTGAGTGCGGTGTTCAACAACAAACAAACATAACTGATTGACTGTAACCCAAAGGACTAAAGAGTTTGATCATAGCACCCCCGACCCCCACCCCCCCACCCCTGTGAATCTGGGGTTTCAAAGGTAACATCGGAAACATCATTTATCAGCATCTAAGCATCGCTAAGGTACCAGCAAGATAGGAACCTTAATCTGCAAGAGGTGAGGTGAGGTCAAATGGTTTAACATCGGGTCCAACACTATTGCACTTATATAGCGACGTGTGTGTGTGTGTGTGTGTGTGTGTGTGTGTGTGTGTGTGTGTGTGTGTCGCTGCTTGTACAAGTCCGGACTGATGCCGATTTATAGTCCTTGCGCTCTCTGCCATACCATGCCGCAGTTTAACATGACAGACAGGGTAACAACAAGTACCATCTTTTAACGTCTTTTCCTATGAGGGGTCTAATCTGCAAGATACTCTCTCTCTCTCTCTCTCTCTCTCTCTCTCTCTCTCTCTCTCTCTCTCTCTCTCTCTCTCTCTCTCTCTCTCTCTCTCTCTCTCTCTCTCTCTGTACAACGCCATGCTTGAGTTAATAACCACTAGCTACGTGGAGAGATGTCACGTTTAAGCTTGAGCTACGCAAAATGAAATACCCAATCCCAATAACATGTTGATCAGTGGGCGTCAATATCACTGTGAATGCAGGTTAGCCGAGCATATGCTATTGTGCTCTTTTAATGTATTTGCCACAAGCAGCCATGACGTCGCCCTCATTTACCAAGAGAAGCGGCGAAGCGTTATAATCTCAAAGTCAACGTGTATTCGTAAACATGCCCTCTTGACAAATGCCCTGAGAAGTACGTGGCCTGTCCCCATTTCGCCTACACCTCATTTCGCCTACACCCTTATCAAAACACCCTTATCAAAACAAATTTACAGCTGACTGCACATAAGTCAAGTGCTGTGTTACCTCTAAAATAATGAACTGACCCAAAAGAAGGTTAAACAGACAAGACAATCTTAAAGCTTCATACATTGTTTAATAGCTGATATTTACGTTATGCAGTAATAATAATAATGACTCATGATTACTGTAGCTTTAGTACATATCCAACGGCATCAAGAAATTGCATTACAGTTAAACAGACAAGACAATCTTGAAGCTTCATACAGTGTTTAATAGCTGATATTTACATTATGCAGTAATAATAATAATGACTCATGATTACTGTAGCTTTAGTACATATCCAACGGCATCAAGAAATTGCATTCCACTAAGAAGCTGTGCGGTGATAGGCTTCTTTACACCTTAATTATTAAATAAGATATATTTACTAAACAAGATTTACTTGCACATTCAAAACAACTAAGGATTAACAGAATGACCAAGTCAAACTAGAGTTGTGAGAAGTTGTCATAGGTTGTAAAAACTTCACTTTGAACCTCTATGCCGCTTGGATTAGATTAGAGTTTGGATTAGTTAACAGCCTGAGATGGTCAATGCCCATTCATATAATAGGGGTGAGGCAATTAAGCATTTGAATTATTGTAGGCGAAATGAGGGCAAGATAAGTACGTGCCCTTACGTAAAAGATCTGTATAACACCTTCACTGAATGATGTAACGCTGTACTTGGATGTCCCGCCATACCAGGGGGGACGATGCGTGTCTAAAGCCACTTAGACAATGGTGATGCTGTCAGGTGTCTAAAGCCACTTAGACAATGGTGATGTTGTCAGGTGTCTAAAGCCTCTTAGACAATGGTGATGTTGTCAGGTGTCTAAAGCCACTTAGACAATGGTGAGGTTGTCAGGTGTCTAAAGCCACTTAGACAATGGTGAGGTTGTCAGGTGTCTAAAGCCACTTAGACAATGGTGAGGTTGTCAGGTGTCTAAAGCCACTTAGACAATGGTGAGGTTGTCAGGTGTCTAAAGCCACTTAGACAATGGTGAGGTTGTCATGCCATGATAAACGAAATCCATCAACTGTCAAATGTCATGTTTGCCATTAATACATTGCAGTGAAAGCCCTTTTGACTTATAGAAGTAATATCACACCTTTCAAAGCATGAAAGTATAATGAAGATTAATTAATTGCTTTGGAATTACGTATCTGTGCCTTAATAAACTCTTAAAATGCAACAATCTGCATTACCCTGTGCAATCCATAACAAACCTTGCCAGTTTCAAATAGTAAAGAAACATTAGGCAGATAATTGGATAAACCGAACAGAGTTCCTTGATAACCAGTGATTGTGTAAAGCGAGTGTTCCTTGATAACCAGTGACGTGTACAGCGAGTGTTCCTTGATAACCAGTGACTTGTGTAAAGTGAGTGTTCCTTGATAACCAGTGATTGTGTAAAGCGAGTGTTCCTTGCTAACCAGTGACTCGTGTAAAGCGAGTGTTCCTTGCTAACCAGTGATTGTGTAAAGCGAGAGTTCCTTGATAACCAGTGACGTGTACAGCGAGTGTTCCTTGATAACCAGTGACTTGTGTAAAGCGAGTGTTCCTTGATAACCAGTGACTTGTGTAAAGCGAGTGTTCCTTGATAACCTGTGATTGTGTAAAGCGAGTGTTTCTTGCTAACCAGTGACTCGTGTAAAGCGAGTGTTCCTTGCTAACCAGTGATTGTGTAAAGCGAGAGTTCCTTGATAACCAGTGACGTGTACAGCGAGTGTTCCTTGATAACCAGTGACTTGTGTAAAGCGAGTGTTCCTTGATAACCAGTGATTGTGTAAAGCGAGTGTTCCTTGCTAACCAGTGACTCGTGTAAAGCGAGTGTTCCTTGCTAACCAGTGATTGTGTAAAGCGAGAGTTCCTTGATAACCAGTGACGTGTACAGCGAGTGTTCCTTGATAACCAGTGACTTGTGTAAAGCGAGTGTTCCTTGACAACCAGTGACTTGTGTAAAGCGAGTGTTCCTTGAAAACCAGTGATTGTGTAAAGCGAGTGTTCCTTGCTAACCAGTGACTCGTGTAAAGCGAGTGTTCCTTGCTAACCAGTGATTGTGTAAAGCGAGAGTTCCTTGATAACCAGTGACGTGTACAGCGAGTGTTCCTTGATAACCAGTGACTTGTGTAAAGCGAGTGTTCCTTGATAACCAGTGATTGTGTAAAGCGAGTGTTCCTTGACAACCAGTGACTTGCGAAAAGCGAGACGCAGTTGACAGATAGCTGGAGGGTGTTGTGCTAACCCGTCCAGCCGACCTTGACTGAACAATACCGTGTAGGGGGTCAATCCCTTCAAAGCCAATCAGTCATTGTTGATCTATCCCGTCTGTGCGAGCTGCTGTGACTGGGTGACGAATTGACCAAGCACGACTTTCAGTCTGACGAGGACGAGTTAACGTCCTGTGTTGGGTCCCATGTCAGTGGTCCTGGAAGAGGATGAAGCCTGTCTTTGCCGTCGTGGTGGTCTTGTGCGTGTCTCGGTGTCTCGGGTGTGAAGGGGAAACGTACTGGTCAGATGGGCTCTCCGTCTTGAAGATCTGTCGAGATGCCGGGCAGTTGTCCTGCACAAAGGTTGATGCAAGGTACTGCGCATGTCCCTATCTGCCCTGTTTTCTTGTCACAAACATTTACATATAGTTCTCACAATATTCTCACATCTATTCTCATCGTCTTTAATGACTCGCGTCTTCCCTCTCACATCTGTAGTCAGATCTACTCTCATATCTACAATCAGATCTACTCACACATCTACAGTCAGGTCTACAACTCCTACTGTCAGATCTATCATAGGCTATCATAAAAAAAATATTTCGTTTATTACACTAGTCGTAGGGTCACAGGTGACCCAGTCGCCGCGATTCGCTGTGCAGAGAAGCACGCCAGAAACCTATGATTGTGGGTTCGAATCCCGGTTTGACCCGATTATGTTTCTTGGTTTGTCAGCACCATACCGTGCTCGTGCGTTTCACTAAAGTGGTAACTTGCGTAAATTCTATTTTCCCAGCACATAAAGCTGACACGCCGTGATATGACTGTAATACCGTTCAAAGCTGCGTTATCCAAACTCACTCACTCTCTCACTGATCGTATTGCTCAGGTGGCTGTGTGCAAGTCAACTAAAGTAAGCACGCAGGTTAATACAGACCAATCTTCACTTCCAGCGATCTTCCACAGACCGGTGACGTGGAACGGGTCAGTTCAGAGCGTCTCAGCAACATGTTGGCCACATGTGGGTCTACCCCTAACATCCGCCACAAGAGGTGGTCCATCTCAACTATCTACCCAGGTAGGACATCAGTCGTGTCTATTCGTATCATTTCGGGACATGGTGACCTCAGCCCCTCTCGTGGCCATGTTTTCTGTTTGTTTCCGTCTTGACACAAAACTTAGTCAACCACACCAGTATTTGTAGCTTACATGGCTATTTTCTGAGCATGCCATTCAAAACCACATATCATTCAGTATGGTAAAACAACTGTTAATGTAGAATACAAACCATACCTTCAAAATTAATTATATACCATGAAGAGTTGCGTCCCTTTGACGCGCTATTGGTTCGAATCCCGGATTGCCAAGACCATGTTTTGGTTTGTCAGCATTACGCCCATGCACGTAGGTTTCACTGAAGTAGTAAATGTCCAAGACCTACATCACTTCGGATTTCATCCGGGGGCATGGGTGGCCCAGTTGTCTGAGGTACCGCGATTCGCTGTGCAGAGTTGCGTCCCATGGGCATGCCAGAAACCTATGATTGGGGGTTCAAATCCCGGTTCTCCCCGATTATTTTTCAAGGCTTGTCAGCACCATACCAATGCTCGTGGGTTTAACCCAAACGTCTGAGACCTGCATCACTTCGGGCTCTCCTCCCACATTAAGCTGACACGCCGCGATATAACTGGAATACTGTTAAAAGCGGCGTAAACCCAACCCACTCACTCACTCGGATTTCATCCAGCATCAAACTGTCTGAGTTATATGACCATAAACCTTATAATATACTCCAAAACTCTTTTCCATAAGCTTAACAGTCTAATGTATGATTCCGACTGTATCATGAGCATGTGTTTGTGAATACTCTCATATGGTGATGATACCAAGTATTCGAAAAAAGGTGAGCGTATCCCCTCACTGGTGTCACCGATTACAAACACATGCAAAGGCAAGTCAGTTGTACAGCTGAAAGAACACATGGTACATATAACTGCAATACTGCTCCAACTCACTCACTCACCCTGACCCAGGTACAAAGTGGTGTGGAGGCGGAAACACGGCCAGTGGCTACAGTGACCTGGGGTCACTCACCAGGACGGACAGCTGCTGTCGCACACACGACAACGACTGTGCATACGACATTGTCAAATCCATGAAATGTAAAGGAACGTTCTGTATCCCGGTACCATGGACAAGGTATGTGTTTGTTTGTTTGTTTGTTGTTTAACGCCGCACTCATCGATATTCCAGCTATATGACGGCGGTCTGTAAATAATCGAGTCTGGCCCAAACAATCCAGTGATTGACGCATCGATCCACGCAATTGGGATACAAGGACATGCATCAAACCAAGTCAGCGAGCCTTTTAATAATTTTTGGGATTTTTGAAAAATATTTTTTCGAGTTTCCACAGCAATGACTTGAACTTGGCGGTAGTGCTCGTTTCCGGAGCAGATCTTGAAAACCGTTAATATTTCTTGCCTTGCACACAACAAGACATGTCATATTGGCGGGATATGAGTACTTCATGCTTGTTGTGACACTTTATATTACAGGCTACACTGCAGCTGTGACGACATATTCAACGCCTGCCTCAAAGATGTCGCCAAGTCCGGATCCTCCAGCTCCGCCGAGAAGACGGCTGCCAACGCCATAGGCTGGATTTACTTCAATGTCATGGGGCAGACTTGCTATGTAAAACGCACCACCAAGAAACTGGTCTTCAAGAAAGGGAAACTGTGAGTGTTTGTCATGTAACGTGCGACTTCCTGTATTGCAAATAGTTTTTGTTATATTTGGTATTCTCAAAGCCGTATATTTGTGCAGCGTCGGGCAACAGACACTTACTTTATCTATGCAAATTGTGCGAGTGGTGGGTGCAGGAATTGCTTACCCTTTCAACGAACACCTGGTGTCATCATTGATTCTCAGTGATCCATTCATATAATGTTATCCACATATGTGCCTATGCGCTCAATGGAATCTGTTTTGGCGGATAATAGTCATTCTCTGGCGTTGGTGTTTTGTTATATCTATTATCACTGTATTCTGCACTTCTGATTAAAATAAAAAAATATTCTGACATTTTTTTGGCTCTCAAAAACCCTTCTCTATAACAAAACACACTAGAAGTGGAAATGCCCTATATTTCATTTAATAGAACAATGGCGTTTCAATTCAAATACAATAACATTGAATATACTCCAACACAAAACTGGGTGTGATTATATTCTACTTTGTCATTTTGAAAGAACATTACTGGAAAATTATTTCTTATTCTTTGAACATTCATATCCATGTGTGCGCTGTCCACACAGGTTGGTCGAGATGTCTGGTTAATTCCATCCCTAATTACCAATGTTAAGCACTTGATTGGGGGGGAATTAGGGATGCGAATTTCTTTTTGATCTCACTACTCATTAAACCAGACCTTGGTCTGTCTAAAACAGTGGTCAGACTCGCGGACTTGCCGACTTGGTTGATGCATGCCATTGTATCCCAATTGCGTGGATTGATGCTCATATCAATCACTGGATTGTCTGGTTCAGACTCGATTATTTACAGACCGCCGTCATGTAGCTGGAATATTGCTGAGTGCGACGTTAAACAAGAAACAAACTTAACAAGTGTTTGACTGTACCTACTGTTAGAAGACTGTTCAGTTTGGAAAGCCATATAGTATAGAATTAAGTTATCAATAAATATGTATGATAACAGTTCTTTTTGTCTTTGAGTATTGACACACCTCCGTGGTGAAATGGACAGCGTCTGCCCGAAGAGCGGAGGGTGGGTTAATCTATCCCCCAGCCCGCATCGTTGCAAAATATAATAAACTGCGGCAATGTATTTCAGTGGGCTAGCACTATCAACCGACATAAGACTAGAACAAGTAGCCTTACAGACACATGTGCAAGCCAGCACGCACGCACGCTCGCTCGCTCGCACGCACACACGCACGCACGCACGCACGCACACAAATACGCGTCGCTATATAAGTGCAATAATCTTGAAAGCGACGTTAAACCCCATTGCACCGCACCTCACATTGATCTATGAAAGATAGTTATACAGGCAAGGTTGAGACTAACATTCAAATCCAATACATGTCAAATAATACACGTATGAATTACAATATTTATCAAAGCCTCATAATGTACATGCACTTTGCTTTCAAAGCTGATACAAGTCTTGTGTCTTTATTGCAGGATGTTAGTGAAGACAAGCACAGCTGTGTGGCAATCTGTCAAACGCTTTTAGATGAAAGAAGAGTGTTCTGTGCATGTAAATATCAAGTATTGAGCGATATCATTTGCATTTCTACAATAAATATTTAATTTACCCAGTGTGTTGTTTTCCTGTCTTAGGTTCTAATATTTTTTTCCGATAATCGCTGCTTTCCGATACAGAAACACTGGCTCACTTTTGACTGCTGTGAATACTCAAGTATTTGTGTCAATATAAACACACCTGGAGGTCGACACTTTAAACAAGTGAAGGAAATCCTTGCGATACCGCCATCACAGAACACATACATACTTATTTTGGCCCCATTTTGTTATATAGCTGGCCTGAAAATAATGAGTGTTTAAAGGTTCAATTGTTTGACTAGAGTATGCCTTGAAACAAACAAAACGTATTCTGGCCGTGAGATGCTTAAACAGTTTAGTGAGCATCGTCAGTACGTCACAGGTTTGTTTCTATACACTTGTTCCTCCATCACCACATCGTCAGTACGTCACAGGTTTGTTTGCATACACTAGTTCCTCCATCATCACATCGTCAGTACGTCACAGGTTTGTTTCTATACACTAGTTCCTCCATCAGCACATCGTCAGTACGTCACATGTTTGTTTGCATACACTAGTTCCTCCATCACCACATCGTCAGTACGTCAAAGGTTTGTTTCTATAGACTAGTTCCTCCATCACCACATCGTCAGTACGTCACAGGTTTGTTTGCATACACCAGTTCCTCCATCACCACATCGTCAGTACGTCACAGGTTTGTTTCTATACACTAGTTCCTCCATCACCACATCGTCAGTACGTCACAGGTTTGTTTGCATACTCTAGTTCCTCCATCACCACATCGTCATACTTCACGTGTTTGTATACACCAGTTCCCCCATAACAACAAGGTCAAACTTCACAGGTTTGTATACAATAGTTCCTCCATCACTTCATCGTCAGTACGTCACAGGTATGTACACACTAGTTCTTCCATCACCACATCGTCAGTACGTCACAGGTTTGTATAAACTAGTTCCTCCATCAACACATCGTCAGTACGTCACAGGTGTGTATACACTAGTTCCTCGATCAACACATCGTAAGAAGGTCATGTGTTTGTATACACTAGTTCCTCCATCACCACATCGTCAGTACGTCATGTGTTTGTATATACTAGTTCCTCCATCACCACATCGTCAGTACGTCATGTGTTTGTATACACTAGTTCCTCCATCACCACATCGTCAGTACGTCATGTGTTTGTATATAATAGTTCCTCCATCACCACATCGTTAGTACGTCATGTGTTTGTATACACTAGTTCCTCGATCACCACATCGTCAGTACGTCATGTGTTTGTATACGCTAGTTCCTCCATCACCACATCGTCAGTACGTCACAGGTTTCTATACACTAGTTCCTCCATCACCACATCGTCAGTACGTCATGTGTTTGTATACACTAGTTCCTCCATCACCACATCGTCAGTACTTCACAGGTTTGTATACACTAGTTCCTCCATGACCACATCGTCAGTACGTCACAGGTTTGTATACACTAGTTCCTCCATCACCACATCGTCAGTACTTCATGTGTTTGTATACACTAGTTCCTCCATCACCACATCGTCAGTACTTCACGTGTTTGTATACACTAGTTCCTCCATCACCACATCGTCAGTACGTCACAGGTTTGTATACACTAGTTCCTCAATCACCACATCGTCAGTACTTCATGTGTTTGTATACACTAGTTCCTCCATCACCACATCGTCAGTACGTCACAGGTTTCTATACACTAGTTCCTCCATCACCACATCGTCAGTACGTCATGTGTTTGTATACACTAGTTCCTCCATCACCACATCGTCAGTACGTCAAAGGTTTGTTTCTATAAACTAGTTCCTCCATCACCACATCGTCAGTACGTCACAGGTTTGTTTGCATACACTAGTTCCTCCATCACCACATCGTCAGTACGTCAAAGGTTTGTTTCTATACACTAGTTCCTCCATCACCACATCGTCAGTACGTCACAGGTTTGTTTGCATACTCTAGTTCCTCCATCACCACATCGTCATTCTTCACGTGTTTGTATACACCAGTTCCCCCATAACAGCAAGGTCAAACTTCACAGGTTTGTATACAATAGTTCCTCCATCACTACATCGTCAGTACGTCACAGGTATGTATACACTAGTTCTTCCATCACCACATCGTCAGTACGTCACAGGTTTGTATAAACTAGTTCCTCCATCACCACATCGTCAGTACGTCACAGGTGTGTATAAACTAGTTCCTCCATCACCACATCGTCAGTACGTCACAGGTGTGTATACACTAGTTCCTCGATCAACACATCGTAAGAAGGTCATGTGTTTGTATACACTAGTTCCTCCATCACCACATCGTCAGTACGTCATGTGTTTGTATATACTAGTTCCTCCATCACCACATCGTCAGTACGTCATGTGTTTGTATACACTAGTTCCTCCATCACCACATCGTCAGTACGTCATGTGTTTGTATATACTAGTTCCTCCATCACCACATCGTCAGTACGTCATGTGTTTGTATACACTAGTTCCTCGATCACCACATCGTCAGTACGTCATGTGTTTGTATACGCTAGTTCCTCCATCACCACATCGTCAGTACGTCACAGGTTTCTATACACTAGTTCCTCCATCACCACATCGTCAGTACGTCATGTGTTTGTATACACTAGTTCCTCCATCACCACATCGTCAGTACTTCACAGGTTTGTATACACTAGTTCCTCCATGACCACATCGTCAGTACGTCACAGGTTTGTATACACTAGTTCCTCCATCACCACATCGTCAGTACTTCATGTGTTTGTATACACTAGTTCCTCCATCACCACATCGTCAGTACTTCACGTGTTTGTATACACTAGTTCCTCCATCACCACATCGTCAGTACGTCACAGGTTTGTATACACTAGTTCCTCAATCACCACATCGTCAGTACTTCATGTGTTTGTATACACTAGTTCGTCCATCACCACATCGTCAGTACGTCACAGGTTTCTATACACTAGTTCCTCCATCACCACATCGTCAGTACGTCATGTGTTTGTATACACTAGTTCCTCCATCACCACATCGTCAGTACGTCACAGGTTTGTTTGCATACACTAGTTCCTCCATCACCACATCGTCAGTACGTCAAAGGTTTGTTTCTATACACTAGTTCCTCCATCACCACATCGTCAGTACGTCACAGGTTTGTTTGCATACTCTAGTTCCTCCATCACCACATCGTCATTCTTCACGTGTTTGTATACACCAGTTCCCCCATAACAGCAAGGTCAAACTTCACAGGTTTGTATACAATAGTTCCTCCATCACTACATCGTCAGTACGTCACAGGTTTGTATAAACTAGTTCCTCCATCACCACATCGTCAGTACGTCACAGGTGTGTATAAACTAGTTCCTCCATCACCACATCGTCAGTACGTCACATGTGTTTGTATACACTTGTTCCTCCATCACCACATCGTCAGTACGTCACGTGTTTGTATACACTAGTTCCTCCATCACCACATCGTCAGTACGTCACAGGTTTGTATAAACTAGTTCCTCCATCACCACATCGTCAGTACGTCATGTGTTTGTATACACTAGTTCCTCCATTACCACATTGTCAGCGCGTCATGTGTTCGTATACACTAGTTCCTCCATCACCACATCGTCAGTACGTCACATGTTTGTATACACTAGTTCCTCCATTACCACATCGTCAGTACTTCACGTGTTTGTATTTACTAGTTCCTCCATCACTACATCGTCAGTACGTCACAGGTTTGTAGACACTAGTTCCTCCATTACCACATCGTCAGTACGTCACGTGTTTGTATACACTAGTTCCTCCATCACCACATCGTCAGTACGTCACAGGTTTGTATACACTAGTTCCTCCATCACCACATCGTCAGTACTTTACGTGTTTGTATACACTAGTTCCTCCAGTACCACATCGTCAGCGCGTCATGTGTTCGTATACACTAGTTCCTCCATCACCACATCGTCAGTACGTCACAGGTTCGTATACACTAGTTCCTCCATTACCACATCGTCAGTACTTCACGTGTTTGTATTTACTAGTTCCTCCATCACTACATCGTCAGTACGTCACAGGTTTGTAGACACTAGTTCCTCCATTACCACATCGTCAGTACGTCACGTGTTTGTATACACTAGTTCCTCCATCACCACATCGTCAGTACGTCACAGGTTTGTATACACTAGTTCCTCCATCACCACATCGTCAGTACTTCATGTGTTTGTATACACTAGTTCCTCCATCACCACATCGTCAGTACGTCACAGGTTTGTATACACTAGTTCCTCCATCACCACATCGTCAGTACGTCACAGGTTTGTATACACTAGTTCCTCCATCACCACATCCTCAGTACTTCATGTGTTTGTATACACTAGTTCCTCCATCACCACATCGTCAGTACGTCATGTGTATGTATATACTAGTTCCTCCATCACCACATCGTCAGTACGTCATGTGTTTGTATACACTAGTTCCTCCATCACCACATCGTCAGTACGTCATGTGTTTGTATATACTAGTTCCTCCATCACCACATCGTCAGTACGTCATGTGTTTGTATACACTAGTTCCTCGATCACCACATCGTCAGTACGTCATGTGTTTGTATACGCTAGTTCCTCCATCACCACATCGTCAGTACGTCACAGGTTTCTATACACTAGTTCCTCCATCACCACATCGTCAGTACGTCATGTGTTTGTATACACTAGTTCCTCCATCACCACATCGTCAGTACTTCACAGGTTTGTATACACTAGTTCCTCCATGACCACATCGTCAGTACGTCACAGGTTTGTATACACTAGTTCCTCCATCACCACATCGTCAGTACTTCATGTGTTTGTATACACTAGTTCCTCCATCACCACATCGTCAGTACTTCACGTGTTTGTATACACTAGTTCCTCCATCACCACATCGTCAGTACGTCACAGGTTTGTATACACTAGTTCCTCAATCACCACATCGTCAGTACTTCATGTGTTTGTATACACTAGTTCGTCCATCACCACATCGTCAGTA